CCCCCCCCCCCCCCCCCCCCACACCCCAGAAGTATGTACAAAAGCGCCCATGGTGCAGTAAAGTCCACATGTAGATGTGCCAATTATGAGGTAATGTAATGAAGTAAGAGTAATCCAACTCATTGGAGTGAGACAAGGCCCTTGTACTCAAGGGGTTTTCTCTCCATGTCTGTTTTTAATCCATTTTCTTCCAAGGACTATATAAGATGAATTCCAAAATTTTCAAAAATGTTCTAGGTATTGTTGGGCAGATTCCTGTTGATTTTGATGGAAACTGAACAACCAGAAAGGTCTCATTGTCATTAGGATTCACAAGTTTGTCTAACATGATTTCAGGAACGAGGCAGTGACTTTACAGTGGTGGTTATTCTTTATATTAAGGTGCAGACAAGGTTAGGTTTAGAGTGAGTGTGCATCTTACCCTACTTCAGCCAGACTTCACAGGTGGGCACCTTGCTCCCACTGCTCACCTGAACTTTCCATTCAGGTCCCTCATCCAGCACACAACTCCATCTGAGTCCCAGTTCATACTTTCTGTTGATTTTGGTGACAATCAGGAAATATACAAGCCAAACTTTCATAGATTCATAGGTGTAGGGTCGGAAGTGACCTTGTAGATCTTCTAGTCTGACTGGACACGGTACTCCAGCTGTGGCCTGACCAGTGTCACATAGAGGGGGAGGATCATCTCCTTGGCCCTGCTTGTGATGCATCTGTGGATGCACGACAAGATACAGTTAGCCCTACTGACCGTGTTCTCACATTGTCAGCCCATGTTCATCTTGGAGTCGATAATGACTCCAAGATCTCTTTTGGCCACCGTGCTTTCGAGAAGGGAGTTCCCCAGCCTGTAGGTATGCTGCTGGTTCCTACTGCCCAAGTGCAGCACCCCACACTTGTCAGTATTGATTTCCATCCTTTTTTCATTTGCCCACCACTGTAACCTGTCCAGGTCCTGCTGTAATCTGTCCTTCCCTTCTAGCGTGTCCACCTCACCCCAAGTCTTGGTGTCATCTGTGAATTTAAACAGGCTGCTCTTCACCCCATTGTCCAAGTCGCTAACAAAGAAATTGAACAGTTCGGGCCCAAGGACTAAGCCCTGGGGGAATCCACTGCCCACTTCCCTCCAGGTTGAAAATGACCCGTCCACCACCACTCGCTGAGTATGACCCATCAGCTAATTTGCAATCCATCGACTGTGTAGGCATCAATGCCACAGTCACCTAGCTTCTTAATGAGAAAGGGGTGGGAGATAGTGTCAAAGGCCTTGCTGAAGTCCAGAAAGACGACATTCACTGCGACACCTGCATCCAGTGCTTTTGTGACCTGATCGTAGAAGGCAATCAGGTTGGTCTGACAGGACCTGCCCCAATGAAACCATGCTGGTTGCTCTTGAGCATCATCCCTGCTGCTGGCCCATCACAGATGTGCTCCTTGATAATCTTCTCAAAGAGCTTCCCCAGGATTGAAGTAAGACTAATGGGCCTATAGTTGCCTGGGACCTCCCTCTTTCCTTTTTTAATGATGGAGACCCATTATGCACCTGGCCAGAGCACCACAAGTGCTAGTAAAGCCATGCCAGAGGCCCTGCAATAACCCCTGCCAATTCCCTCAACACCCTGGGGTGGAGAGCATCTGAACCTACTGATTTGAACACATCCAGCCCCTCCAGAAGCTCTCTAACATGGTCCTCCCTGACCCTAGGCTTGGCAGAGTTTCTTCTGAGTCCGTCCTGAATCTCAGTAGGGGAGACCCGGTCCCTGCACAAGAAAATAGAGGCAAAGAAATTGTTAAAGAGGTCTGCTTTCTCCTCTGGTACAACCACCAGATAGCTAAGCATATCCTGCAGGGGCCCCACATTACCCGGGGCCTTCTTCTTTCTCCCTATGTATTTAAAAAAGAACTTTTCGTTATCCTTGATGTTAGCCCTAGTTCTGTATCTGCCTTAGCTTTCCTAACAGCCCCCCTACAGACCTGAGTGGTGGTGATATACTTCTCTTTGATGATAGCACCTCCCTTCCACTGAGTGTACAACTCCTTTTTTGCAATCAGGCATTCACGAATGCCCTTGGTGAGCCGGGGGGGCTTTTGGGAACTCTTACCCACTTTGCTTTTTGTTGGGATTGTCACCCCTTGGGCTCTGAGTATCATCTCCTTAAGGACTGACCACTCATCCTGGGCACCCAGTTCCTCAACTCTCCAGGACCCTAGTGCCTCTCCCACTAATCTCCTCAACTCATTGAAGTTGGCCTTCTTGAAGTCTAAGGCTACTGCCTTACTGCAGGCCCTTGACATCCTGTGCTGGATGGTGAATTCCAGCAAGCGATGATCGCTATCGCCCAGGTGGTCAAGGACCTGGAGTCCCCTCACCAAGTCTTTGCCTCTGGCCAGGACCAGGTCCAGCAGAGCATTCCCCCTCATAGGATTGTGCACCTCCTGGGTTAAGTGGAGGTCCTGTATCTCGGCCAGGAACCTCCGTGAGCAGTCAGACCCGGCTGACTGCTCCTCCCAGATGTCCGGGTAATTTAGATCACCCATGACAACTTCATCCCTTGCCTTAAGTGCCTCTGCAAGCTGACCCAAGAATTTGCAGTCCAGCTCTTCCCCTTGGTTGGGAGGTCTGTAGTAGACCCCCACCGTTAAGTCCCTTTCCCCCCGACCTCCCTATATCTTGACCCAGAACATTTCAGCCTGCCCCTCCTCTGACCCCATCCTGCTGGTTGAGGATGTGTATTGCTCTTTGACGTAGAGCGCCACACCCCCACCTTTCCTTCCTATTCTATCCCGCCTGTATAGCCTGTAGCCCCTAATGTTGGCTGCCCAGTTGTGAGATGAATCCCACCAGGTTTCTGTGAGCCCTGCTACTTTAGTGGAAATTAGATGTTTTTACTTCTCACAAAATCTATGTAGTTCTGATTGAATGGTATTTTTTGGCTGATTTTTTTTCCCATTTTGTTTATTTATTTTTTTTACAGAAATGTGTTCAATTAGATGAAACTATAATAGGAATAGAATGGCTTTTCATGTCCAGGATAGAATTTATGATCAGAAAAAGAGCCATCCTAGAACAGTCAGTAGCTCAATGTATAAGTCCCTCACTTGAGTTGGAGCTTAGACATTTAAGCCTTGCTTGACCTGTCTTGAAGATTTAAGTTCTACCTATGTTCCCCTCGTTCCATACATATTTGTGAGCCAGTGGGCTACAGAATACATCTTGCCTTGTTCTAATAAGTAATTATTAATTTACCCAAGAGGGAACAAATACAGAAACCGATTGTGACCTAACCTTACCTTCATGTTGGTCAGTATCTACTTCTTAGGTTCATAAAAGTAGAAAAGTAGAACCATTAACACAATTATGAACTAAAGACATTTCTTATTTGGCAGGTGAATTACCACTGTACTACAGAATAACGACCTAAGCAGAACACATGGAGAATATTAACAATGTCACTGAATTCATTCTCTTGGGCCTCTCTCAAAATCAAAAGGTGCAGAAAATATGTTTTGTGCTGTTTTTATTCTTCTATATAATTATCGTGGTGGGAAATATGTTAATTGTTATCACTATAATTAGCAGCTGCCACCTGACCTCCCCCATGTATTTTTTCCTGAGCTACCTGTCCTTTGTAGATATATGCTATTCTTCTGTCACAGCCCCTAAAATGATTGTAGACCTCCTCACTGAGAAGAAAACCATCTCCTTTGTAGGCTGCATAGCACAGTTGTTTGGAGTCCATTTCTTTGGTTGCACAGAGATCTTCATCCTCACAGTGATGGCGTATGATCGATATATAGCAATCTGCAAACCTCTCCACTATACAACCATTATGACCAGGCGCCGGTGTGGCCAGATGGTTGTGGCTTCCTGGCTGGGGGGGTTTATGCATTCCATCATACAGACTGTCCTGACCACCCAGCTCCCTTTCTGTGGGCCTAACAAGATCGATCACTATTTCTGCGATGTGCACCCTTTGCTGCAGTTGGCCTGCACTGATACCTATGTTGTTGGCATCATTGTTGTTGCAAATAGTGGGATGATTGCTTTGGGAAGCTTCTTCCTCTTGGTTGTGTCTTACATTGTTATCTTAGTTTCTCTAAGATCTCGCTCCTCTGAAGGGCGTCTCAAAGCCCTCTCCACTTGTGGGTCTCATATCACTGTAGTGGTTTTATTCTTTGGACCATGCACATTCACCTACATACGCCCTTCCAGCAATTTGTCTGAGGATAAGAGTGTTGCTGTGTTCTACACCATTATCACTCCAATGCTGAATCCATTAATCTACACTCTGAGAAATGAGGAGGTGAAAAGTGCCATGAGAAAACTGTGGAGCAGAAAAGCTGGAGATACAAAGGGTGATATCTAGATTTATGTTAGGTAAACAAGCTAGGAAGGAAGCGGTGGTAATACTCAGCCAGGATTTTAGGAGAATAAGTTGTTTTTGCTTTTAATTATTTAATTCATTTTTAGTAGTTTATTCTCGGTGTAGATCTGAAAAAAATCCAGTTATTGCTCTAATTGTATTTTAATACTAATATTGGTAGGACAGATAAGATGATACTGGAGCATATTTTTTAAGTACCAATTAAACAACTTTCACTATTGACTTGAACACATAAATAATCTTATGATCACTGTTTTAGGTGGACACAATCTTTGAATTTGTCTGGTGGGTATAAATAATAATAAAAAATGTTTTATGAAACCACAGCAATTAATTACAGCATTGTGCCATGATATGATTACACGTTATCACTTGTTAACATGATATGGAGATACAATCTCATGCCATTATAATGCTGAGGTTAAAACAACCAAAATAAGGTCAGAATTCCAGATTTATGACACATTATAACTTGCCTAACATCTGACTCCCCAGATAACCTCTCTACTACTTACCAGCTATATTTATTCCCCTTCCCCACCTCCCCTTCCTCCCCCCCTACCTGTCTCTCACCTTGTAAAACTGACTACCTTGATTTACATTTTCACTGACTGGCTTTCTTGCATGCATACTGGCCTCTGGATTCTTTATTATTCCATCCAGGAAGAGCACAAGCCAACTGTGGATGCTTCCTCAGCCTAATGAAGGGTATTTGTATCTGAAAGCTTGCAAAGAAAATTTTTTCCAACTATTTGAGTTTGTCTAAAAAAAGATATTGGATTTACCCAAACAACCTTTGTCTGCCTATGTCCTTGAACCAACACAGCTACAACCTATACCCATAAACAGCCCATAGATTTTTACATTTCAATTTGGAACACTCTACCATCCTAATGATCTCCACACCAAGGTGCTGAGGGAACTGGCAGGGGTCAGAGAGAGGCTATGGTACCTGAACCTGTTCAGCCTCCATAAGAGAAGGTTGAGAGGGGATCTGGTGGCCATCTATAAACTTACCAGGGGGGACCAGCAGGGAACGGGAGAGTCTCTGTTCCCCTAGGCACTACTAGGAGTAACTAGGAATAATGGCCACAAGTTTATTGAGAGTAGGCTCAGGCTAGACATTAGGCCTGCATGAATAGGCAGCTATTCAATTCAGCTTCGGATCCGGCCGCTTTGGATGCCAGTGATCCAGTCTGGAGCTCCAGATCCATTTCCCACTTCGATTAGGCCGAAGCAGCTCTGAAGCTTCGGAGCCACTTCAGAGATCCAGCCACAGGGTATAATGGGGAATCAATTAAATATCTATAACTTTGCTGTTTTTTGTCTGATTTGAATGCAGAAGTGGTTTGTATTGTATCAGGCCTAAGAGGCAGAAGGCAGAGTGTTTTTTTGGTGAGGAATGTGCCCCCACAGGTAGTTGGGTTTTGTCTTTGATAGATTCTGGTGTGCAGTTTGTGGGTGTACTGGAGATAGTTCGCAGGTTTTGGGTTTTGAGCTGTAGGAAGTTGGCTTCAGTTCAGGTGATGAGGTTAGGTGCTTGTTTGAATGTACAAACCACTTTTCAGAGCTGGGCCTATGAACTGCACTTCATCAGCCTCCTAGGTAGTAGGTACAGAAACTCATGGACTCAATACACCCCCCACCACCCCAGCCTGTCCCTCCCCGCTGATGCCTCCATTTCCATTTTCACTGACTGGCTTTCTTGCCTGAATTGTGTGCCAGGCCAGCCTCTGGCTTCTTTACTATTCCTTCCATCCAGGACCAACTGCGGGTACTTCCTCAGCCTGACAAAGGGGCTTTCAACCCTAAAGCTTTCTACGATATATTTTTTTAAGTACTCCTTTTTTCATAATAAACATATAGACATAAAAACACAAGATAAGCCATAACGCACCATGAGTAACATCATATGTCCAACACAACACAACATCTTTACGTCTTGCTGTCAATTGCTTTATAAAACACAGGCTCTGTGACATTTCGGTTTGGATACCTTTGATGCTGCTGCTGATGCTACTGGTGTTGAGACAGCTAAGTTATTTTACCTGTTGTCATGTAAAGTGGTGGACTGGACCTGAGGCAATAGGGGAGTCGGAGGCCTCAGTGGGGCACACTGCTGTGTTGTGCAGAGGCCCCAGTGCCAGGAAGGGTGCACCTTAACACACACACAGTGTCACCCACACACATCATGAGTTTTGCCTGTTAGCTGCCAGAGGCACAGGGTCCCAGAAGCCAGACTCCCCCAGTGAAACACACACACAGCTGGCAGGCTTCATAGCAGAGCCCAGCACCCAGGCCTACAGTAGATTTCGCCCCTCTTTGCCCCAAGACAGACGCAGTCGCGCAAGCACCCACCCACATCACAAGGTTTGCCTGTTAGCAGACAAAAGTGCAGAGCCCCAGAAGCCAGACTCCCTCTGCACCTATCTCCATGACAGCTGGCAAGCTTTGTGGCCTCAGCAGGGGCCACCATCCCTGCAGTTTTCAGCCCTCTGTGCCTTAACACATACAGGGTGATCCATGTCATGAGTTTTGCCTGTCAGAAGCTTGAGGTGCAGTTCCCCCCAAACTCCTGCACTTATCTCCTTGAAACTTGGCAGACTTCATGGCCTCAGCAGGGGCCACCACCCTTGCAGTTTTCACCCCCTCATGGTGTAACACATGCATGTGACATGAGTTTTGCTATTAAGAATGTTGGGTGCAGTTTCCCCCAAACCCCTTTACCTATTGTCTTGAACCTTGGCAGGCTTCATGCTCTCAGCAGAAGCTACCACCCCTGCAAGTTTCATCCAAATCAGGCTAAAAAGAACAACATTATAGATATTTCATTAATTCCCCATTATACCCTATGGCCGGATCTCCAAAGTGGCTCCAAAACCTTTCTGAAGAAGTTCAGAAGCCCCGGAACATGCTGCTTTGGTGTCCGAAGCATCCAAATCTTCTCCGGATCTGAGGAATGGTCCTAAGCCTCACACAGCCCCACTAGAGATCAGGAAGCACTACTTCACAGTCAGGACAGCTAGGATCTGGAACCAACTTCCAAGGGAAGTGGTGCTCGCCCCTACCCTGGGGGTCTTCAAAAGGAGGCTGGATAATCACCTAGCCAGGGTCATTTGACCCCCAGCATTCTCTCCTGCTCACGGCAGGGGTCAGACCTGATGGTCTGCTCAGGTCCCTTCCGGTCCTACCTACTATGAAACTATTATATACCCTAAAATAAAGGACTAGCACTCAGAGAGACCTAGAGAAATTGGATGATTGGACCAAAAGAAGTCTCATGACATTCAATAAGGATAAGTGCAAAGTCCTTGACTTAGGATCAAACAATGCACCAATACAGGCTGGGGACTAACTGGCTAAGCAGAAATACTGCAGAAAGGGACCTGGGGGTTACAGTGGAAAATAAGTTGAATATAAGCCCACAGTGTGCCCTTGTTGTTAAGAAGGCTAACAGAATATGGGACTGCATTCAAAGGAGCGTTGCCAGCAAATCGTGGAAAGTGATTCTTCCCCTCTATTTCACACTGCTGAGGCCACACCTGGAGAACTGTGTCCAGCTTTGAGACCCCCACTAGAGGAAAGATGTGGACAAATTGGAAAGAGTCCAGCAAAGGACCTCTGTGGCTGGGCAGCAGTGCAGGCTCTGGGGCCTGTGCTCAGAGGGGCTGAACAGCAAGGAGCTGCTGCCCAGTAAGGGGGGGGAGGGGGGGGGGATCATGACTAGGCTGCCCACAGGGCACTGAAGCCCTATCCAAGGGTGAGGGTGCCACAAGCCTCCCCTCCTCTTCCCTCCATCCTGCACTGGGGTTGGACACACTCCACCACCACCTGCATGAATCGGAGCCACTGCACTCTGGCCCGGGCAGGACGGGTACAGCTGGGGCCCTCTGGCAGGGCTGGGGGGGCAGGTGCCTGCAGGTCAGGAGTGAGGGTCATTGGGGTGGGAGACTGAGGGTTGGGAGTGCAGGGGCCACTGGCAGTGCCAGAGGCCTGTGGGTCAGGAGTGAGGAGCACCAGTATGAATGGGGAATGGGAGACTGGCTTTGGAGTGATGGATACCATCAGGGCCCAGGGAGCAGGGTACTGCAGTTTCATGAGTGATAGGCATTGGCAGGGCTGGGGTCAGTGTGTTGGGAGGGAGGGACAACTACCAGGCTTGGGGGGGCTGTGGCTTGGGAGTGTGGGGCACCAGGGTGGGGAACTGTGGGTTGGGAGTGCGGGGGGCACTGGCAGCCAGGGGCCTGTGGGTCATGAGTGAGGGGCACCAGCAGGGACTGGGGTGGGGAGGTGCAGGTCAGGAGTGAGAGACATTGGGTTGGGAGTGGGGGACTGTTCATGGCAGGCAGACTGTGTTTGTCTCTGCATATCCATATGCAGAGTGAGTGAGTAGAGTGCACAATGATCTGCATGTGTGTGTGTGTGTCTGTGTGTGCATGCATGTATGTGTGCATGCATGCATCTGTGTCCATAGCAGGATGTAGACTGTTTGTGTCTGTGTGTCCATGTGCAGAAATTGAGTGACTAGAATGCACACCTGTCTGCATGTGTGTGTGCATGTGTCTGTGTGTGCGTGGCTGTGTCTATATTCATAGCAGGAGGGAAACTGGAGTTGTACTGTACTGCTTGTCCTCAGTGTACAGGAATTGTAATGATCTGATACTGTAGATAGTCTTACGTAAAAGTCTTCCTATTACATAGTTATTAGAAAACATTTTTAGGGAGTAAAGACAGCAATATATGACCACCTTGTCTTAAACATTTTATTCATAATTCTGAAAGAGAATATTTCCTAAGAGGTTGTTTTTTTTAATTTTTCCAAACTTTTTCATTTTTTTCAATTTTTCAGAAAAAACAAATAAAGTCCTCAGAAAAAAATAAACAGGGAAAAAAAGTTTTATTCTGATTTCTATGGGTTTTTTTCTGGGCCTTCACATCTCTAGTCTGTGGGTGTGTGCATGTGTCTGCATGTGTGTGCATGC